CCCTCCCTCCTCTCTCTCTCTCTCTCTCTCTCTCTCTCTTTGCCCCCATCGCCGCTTTTACTTCCGCGTTTCCTTCGCTTTCTCCGTCCGTCTCTGAATTCCTTTTGGGTAAACGAATGGGAAATCGACCCTTCCACACACCTCCACCGCGGGGCCCGCAAGCGGCATCAGGTAACTACGCCACGTGGGATGACAAACTTCTGCGGAGGCGCGTGCTTTCGTTCCTTCGTTGGCGCGGTAAAGAAACGTGTGCGGGACTTTTGGTGACGAAAAATTACACGTAAAAGAAATCAAAGCGGGTGATGTGATGCGTGAACAGCGACTGTATCCTCCATTTCCTTCAGCTTCTTTTCGGTGCAATTTGGATACAGCAAACATGAACGTAATATTTTATATTTAGCAGTTAATTATCGTGATATATTGCATTAAAATTTGAAGATAATTTCTTCTTTTCTAAAAATTATGAATTGGGTGATGTGTTGGGAGATGAGTGGTGGGGTTGAGAGGATGGTGGGTGCCGCGGGAGAGGGGATGAGGAGGTGGAGTTATTTTGGGTGGGGTTGGTGAGGTGAGGTGAGGTGAGGTGAGATATGAGAGAAGCCATGGCTGTCGGTCACTCAAGACGCATGCTGTGGCCATTGAATGATGGGGTGGACTCCCATCACTGAGCATGACGACGGTGCCGGAGACTGTGTGTTACATCTAAGAGATGGGAGTTTACGAAGTCTGTGACAGTAATGCGAAATCATGGAGAGACTTCAACTCAAGATATGAGAAATGTTTGGAACAGTCCAATTAATGCTTTCTCACAACGCCACTTTGATCCTTATGATGATATTGTTCTTTAGGGCTACAACACTCTCTCTCTCTCTCTCTCTCTCTCTCTCTCTCACACACACACAAACACACAACATCTAAACTGCACTTTATTGGCTTCTGTATTGAGGAAGGAAATAAAGCCTTTTCGTAGATCATTTAGCATTCAAACGAGTGAAATGGTGATTGAAGGTCATATTTGTTAGTGTAAACAACTTCGAGCCGTGACCTCGGGGACGTCGTGGCTTAGTTCGAGTCCGGATGATAGGGGATCTCCCTGGGACGTTTCCCGAGAATGCTGAGGTGGCCGATTGCGTGGGTCCGATCGGGACGGGATAGTCGTTTCCACTGGGAGAGAGCCCCCGCCTACGCCTTTGGTGGGCGACCTCCACCTGCGCACCTGCACAAAGGTCGGGTCGGGGAGCTCGACCCGACCCCTCCGACGATCAAGTTAGTAGATAGTCGCAGGAGGTTTCTTTAGCTAAGTTGTGTTTTCTTATCTGTCCCCCCTTCTCTCGGAGCGCGAGGGTTTTTATAGTGAGAATTACCGTTGTATAATGTGCTTGCTCGTAGGGAGCAGGATCGTACTTTTGGTAGCGTCTGACATTGCCGTTGGCGTGACGTGAGGGATCGAACCTGAGCAGGGTGTTAATGTGCCTCGGTAGGCGTTCTGGTCCGCGTTGATCGGGTGCCTTATCAAGTTGACAGAGGCGTGATGTGTCACCTGGTGCAACTGATGTCACATGAGTCTTATCACAATTATTATCCTCATCAATATTAAACTTGCAAGGAGGTCATTTACAGTGATGATTTCCAGAGGGAGAGCTCCTAATACAGCACGGTTTCTTCTTTATAAGGCATTACATTATCTATCAAGATTTCATTCCTTCGAATCAGGTTTATGCAGTTGCAACTCAGATTTCAATTCCCAGTCCGTATCTTGGATTTAAAGATGATTACAAGAACTTCTAACGCAGGAAGTCAAAACAAAGATACATTTAATTACAGGCAAAAGCCACTTGCAGACTGTCAATTGCCACCACAAACAAACAAAAGCAAAGAAAAATAGTTTTCTTCATGACTGCTTGCTAAAGCAGATGATAAACATGGACTTGAGAGTGTGCATGAAAAGCCTTCCACCTCGATCTGTGTCCTCTTGCTGAAACGATCTTTCGAAGTCTTGAAAGGCTTTCAGATGAATGGCTTCCTAAACGATCAGAGACTTTGACAAATTAAGACCTATCATTTGCTTGATTCATCGATCTTTTATGTTCTGGATGTAGATCTATCAGATTTCAGATTTCTCTTAGCAGTCGATGCCTCGAAAGAAGCTAATCAGAAATGAAACTGGTCAGAGAAAGATAATTCTTTCTTTTTGTTTGTGTTCCACTTTACTACCATCTTCAAGAACACAATTCATCAAAGGCAGCACAATTCTTTAAATCTCTAAAGCTTCTTCTTATAAATGACATCCTTATTTACTAAAGTTAAATGACAAAGACGAAATTCGAATCTAAGATCTTACGTTAGATTATCAAAATCCATACCAGCTATACTAGTTGATACCTTCAAGCTAAATCTAATAAAGTCAACTAATTGACAACTTATATCAACTACTAAAACACAAAAAGAATTCTTGAGTTGGTCAATTCACCCAAGAAGAGGAATTGCATGCCATATAAGCTAGATTGGAATCTATAAATTCCAAAATTTATGTGATATAGTTGACCTTTATGTAATTCATTTTGGACAAGCTAATTTATTTTGAATATATTTAATAATGATTAACCAAAAATTGAATGTTTACTTTATATATATATATAATAAATCACTCTAGCGCACTGCTTCCGTAGCATAGTGGTAGTGCGTTCGCTTCGTAAGCGAAAGGTCGCGAGTTCGATCCTCGCCGGGAGCTTTGGTGTTATCTATTTTTTCTCGTATTTTTGCTTGTATTTTATTGATTGGTTTTCATGGAAAAATGTCCTCTTTTAGCTCTCTATCTCTAAATAGAAAGGAAACAGCTTCCGTAGCATAGTGGTAGTGCGTTCGCTTCGTAAGCGAAAGGTCGCGAGTTCGATCCTCGCCGGGAGCTTTGGTGTTTTTTATTTTTTCTCGTATTTTTAGTTTTCATGGCAAGAAGTCCTCTTTTATCTCCCTCTCTCTCTGTCTCTGTATGGAGGAAAGAGCTTCCGTAGCATAGTGGTAGTGCGTTCGCTTCGTAAGCGAAAGATCGCGAGTTCGAACCTCGCCGGGAGCTTTTGGTGTTTTCTCTTTTTTCTCGTATTTTTGCTTCTATTTTGATTATTGGTTTTCATGGCAAAAGTCCTCTTTTAGCTCTCTCTCTATCTCTCTGTCCCTGGGAAAGAGCTTCCGTAGCATAGTGGTATTGCGTTCGCTTCGTAAGCGAAAGGCCGCGAGTTCGATCCTCGCCGGGAGCTTTTGGTGTTTTCTCTTTTTTCTCGTATTTTTGCTTCTATTTTGATTATTGGTTTTCATGGGAAAAAGTCCTCTTTTGGATCTCTCTCTCTCTCTCTCTCTCTCTCTCTCTGTGGAGGAAAGAAAGAAACAGTGCAGCATTAGCATTGGAAATGGAGAGTAGTACATCAAGAACAGGTGGACTTGCATGGCACTTCCAACCCCAGCTTGATCATTGTCCAAAAAAGTCTTATAAAAATGCATTCTTTGCGCTTGTTCTGATCTAATTAAATGCATGTTCAAAGCGTCGTATCACATCGATCATCATTGCTGCGGACTGACTCTGAGCAACGCGTATCATATTTGCAGCACCACAATGAGAACTCGTTCATGCTCATCATCATCACCACGGCATCTGCAGAGAAAGGAGAAAGCGGCAGTTCCCTCATTCGGACCAGAGACCGTTATCAACACCACCTGCAGCGGAATCATTGAGGTGGAGACATGGAGCCGCAGAGATGGGGGAAAAGAAAGGATTCCTTCGCCAAGTGCTCGATGCCAAACGCGAGTACTGTTCTTGACTCACCCTTTACAACTCCGCCAATGGCTTTCTGCAGCGGCTAGCTCAGCATGTGTGTGCAGGGCCCTGAGGAGATGTCGATACGTATGTGGTGAAGGCAAGGCAGGACCAATTTGGCTCAGAGATCCTTCATGGCGCCCCCTCTTCCTCTGGTTGTGGTAGCTGATTAGGGTCGTCCCTACCATGTGACCTGTTGCATGATCCCTTCTTCCTTTCTCAGCAAAATTACCCAGCTTTGAAGCTTACGTGCATGAGATGCAATCTGGCCGCATGACAGAACCTGAGATTAAGAGCTAGGTACTCTCGAACATGGTGGTCCATTTTGGCATCTTCCCTCGGTGATTTCACGGTTTCCACTGCAGTTACCTTTGGGCCATCTCCTAGGAACACACCTTTCTTCATGATGCATCAACATGTGCGTGATGCCTGCCATTTACGCACCCAACTCTCCATTGATTTGAGAGCTTGTAATGCGGCAACAAAAACAGGTTCATATGTAACCTTTCATGGACAATTACCCTACACCAGAAGCTGATGCAGAGGCTTCCTTGCAGAGAATAAAGCAGAGTCATTTCTGAGAGGGGGCGGGTAGGTGATCAATCAATTGTGGGCAATGGAGGCCTCATCGGTTCCCCCAATGGCAAGTTGAGAAGCGTGGAGAACGGCGGCAACTGTCTATTCTATGGCGCCCAATGGAGCCACTCCTCGTGCCCAAAAGTTCCACAAGCAACCAATGTCCTCACGCTCGTGAGCTGTACCAAGAAAAAATATGACCAAGGGAGAGATGTAGCGAGAGAGAGAGAGAAAGAGAGAGAGAGAGAGAGAGGAAAAAGAACTAATCTTGCATTAGATTACAGTCGAGATTTAGACTCTTGAAAGAGCCGATCTTTCCCCCACGAAAGAGCTGAAAAGAAGTAGAGAAAAACAAATGGACAACTCGAAATGGTGAGGAAGAAAAGGGGACGGCTTTGCTTTCCGGCTGTTCTTCTTCTTCCCGCCAATGGGTCCTTCTACTAAAAGCTCACATTCCCAGGGATCCACATTGGAAGCCCTAGCTCTGCATCTCGCCCTCTTCTCGGATTCCTCTCGGTTAGTACCCCGAGATTTCCATCTTTGATTCCCGGGGAGCTTAGCAGCATCAAGGTGGCCGATTTCGGCCTTGATAGGATGATTCGTAATAATAGGTATGTAATTACCGCTATCGATGCACGAAAAGAAGGATTTTTCCTGAACTTACATGTTCTGGATTCTAGACATGGCGGCGACAAGATTTGACCTTTCTGAAAACTATCGTCCGATTTTAACGCCGCAAATTCTTGCAGCATATGGTTGTCAAAATCAGAAATCATCTCCGGTGTAGCTGGTAATTAATTTCTTTCAGCGAGTAGAAGTAGGGTGGAAATCTGTCTTGCATTTTCCTCTGAAAACAAAGTCTTTGTTCTTTTAGTGATTGCGGAGTTCATTTGCTGCAAATGTAGCGCTTTACCATACTTCTTTCGATGGTGGTGGACTCCTTTTGGCTTGATTATGGGTTGTAGATGCTGATTGTTTTACCGTACCCCTAAAAGTACAATACAGTAGCAATTTTGCCGTTTAGTCGAATGTATGTGTTGGTCTTCATAACCCATCTATAGTTTGTCCGACCCTTTTTGACAGACTTGTAGTTTTGAGTGTTAAGAAACAGGAATTTTCAAAAGGAATAAACGTACTTTGGGTAAAGTTTGGTTTATTGTGTTTCTAGAGATCCTTTTCCCTCTTCATTAGCTGCTGGCTGAGTGCTTCTGAGATCTGAATGCCATTGACAGTGATGCTTAATTTGAATACCTTGCAGGTCAAGATATGCTTTTATAGCTTGCTTCTGTTGGTTCTGAGAAAGGTATAACAATCTGCTGAAGAAAGTTCACAGGTGAAGATGGTAGGAATACTGCAATTCTTTGATTTTGGTCAGGGTAGATCCTCCCACAAGCTGCCGCTGCTTAGTAGACGCAACGATGGTGAGATTTCTGTCCCTTCAAATCTAGTGTTTTCTGTTTATCCAACACTAGAATGCAAGATGTTTGTGGTAATGCCACTGTCGTTAGTTACAGCCAGCCATACTCTAAAAGGAGAATTACAGTGCACTGTAACTGATTAAATTTTTACCTTTACTCTGTGTTCCAGAACTCATCTTTTCATTGAAATTAGCTTCTGTATGTATTGGTGGCTCTGCAGGGCTTGAAGCTCCTAGGAACAGCTTGGAGTTTCCAATGGAAGCATATCAGAGCTTTCAAGTGGCTCATGAGGACATTCCGGTGAGTTGTTTGGTTGGTATTTTGCATCATTTCACCTGAAATGAGAGTTGTTTACTTTTTATAGAGCAGCCTTTTGCCTCACAAGTGCCAGAATATAATTTGGTTTTGTCCATTACTTCCTGTACTGTCTTCATCTGCAGCACAAACCCTTGCTATGCTTGCTGGTTTTGTAATCTTGGTACCATTATGTTTCTGGATTACATATTGTTTTGTAAAGCAACAACTCATAATTTTTTAGGTGGACTTTCTAGGTTTAGGGCTTGTGTTCTCTCAATCTTGAAATATTATTGTGAAGATTTGATATGCTTGTTCGATGTGCATGATCATTTCAGTACTCCCATCGTTACTCCAACAAAGATGGTGTCTGTCAAAATGGAGCTCGTATGAAAGAGTTGATTGATGATGAGATGTCCAAAAGAACAAAGGATCGATGCAACGGACCAAGTGTGGTGGCCAGACTGATGGGAATGGATGCACTACCTTCAGACATCAAGCCTGTGATCCATGTGAAGGAGCCGAATGACATGAAGAAACCAAGAAAGGAGCTTGCCAGTATCTCTTCTAATCAGCAAGCCTCGCTAATCTTGAAAACCATGAGACAGTCGAATGAGTTTTTGCCTTATCAAATCGAGCAAGATTTTGATCAGCATACCAAGGACCATGATATGGATAAACCACAACCAAGAGAGCATCCTCAAGAGGAATTATTGCAGAAGTTCAAGAAGGAATTTGAGGAATGGCAAGCATCCAAGGCATGGGAGAGATCAGTGACCCTTGAACTCGGAAATGACCTTCGAAAGGAAAAACATATAAACACGTCTCCACAAGAAATTCTCAACAGTTTTGTGGATGCCAAGAGAAATTCATTTGTGAAGAAAACCACAGAGTTCAAACGTCATGTTCCATCAGCTAGACTAGACACACATTGGGAACAAGAGGACCTTCTGAGTTCTGAAGCTTCTGTGAGTAAACATAGTGAAACTGGACTAACAAAAGACAATTTTTTCGGAGACAATGCACGAAGTAAATCCTTTGCTCCTAAATCTGATCATGAGATGGAGATATCTACTTTGCCACGAAGGATAGTGATTCTTAGACCTGATTACGAGATGAATGACAACACTGAAGAGTCCTGCTTATGCTCACCTGTGATGTTACAGAAAGGAAAGAACATGCATGATTTCCTTGAACAGGTCAAGGAAAGACTCATTATTGAAATTGAAGGGAAACCCAGCCTTGAGACCACAACTATATGGGCTCAGTCTGAGGCTTTTGCCAGCGAAAGATTATCTGATTGCAAACAAATTGTACCAAAAACTGTCAAAGGGTTAAGTGGATCTTTTTCTATAGGTAACAAGACTACATTGATGCAATCAAGATCGACAAGGTCATATAGAAACGAAGTCCAATTCAGTGGACGGAGTTCCCCAGAGTTTATCCCCCAGGATTCTAAAAAACTAATGTCAGAAAGGTTGAAGAATGTCCAGAAGGATGACATAGATATAATGGATCCTTTAATTTCCAGTGGGAGACTAATTACATCGATTTCAAGCAAAGAAGCAGAGAAATTCAATTCTATGCAGTATCTTTCCAAGAAGAGCAGTAAAAAGGTAGCCTCCTGGGAAGAGAAGAAATTTCTAAATGAGTCAAAATCTTTTAGACATGACCAGGGGCAGGCATTTGATGTTGGTGATGAGTCTCCACCGAATCTTTTCAGATCATTTTCTGCTCCTGTTTCTCGAACTGCTTTTGGGAAACTTCTTTTAGAAGATAGGAATGCAACGGCAGCAGTCCACATCTGCAGGAAACATGAAGCATCTGAAAATGACTTAATGGAAGCGAGGAAAAAGACGAAAGATGGGTTTAACATAAAAAACAGAGTTTCAAGCTTGAAACAGAATTTTACATTAAAGGGTAAGCTTTTTGGGAAGAGGATCCAATTGATGGATGAATCAAGTGAAGATGAATTTCTATTCATGAAAGATACTGAAACTTCACCTTTTGTCATTAACTTTGGCTTTGAACAGGCAAGTTCTATGTTAAAAATTAGTTGATCCTTTCATAAGATTTGTTTATCTGATTGGATCTGATGATCTCAGGAGAACTCAACTGAGGTTCCACCAAGCCCAGCATCAGTGTGCAGCAGCCCCCCTGATGAGATCTGTAGGCCTTACTATCCAAGTCCAGTATCTCCACTGGAGGCACTGTTCCATGAAGACCATCCTTCCTTACCAGCTTCAGGAGAACCAAACTCAAATATTCCTGGTAGGGACTTCCTTAACATCTCTGTCACTCTCATGCCTGTTTGTATAACATATTTATCAGCATAAATTATCTATTCTCCCTCAGAACAATCAATGCATTTGAAAGGAACATCCTTGCGCATAGACATCCAGAGGCTCATAACTTATAAGCAGCAAGCAATCAGTGTTTGGTGGTCCTTTAAGATGCTAATGCAATAAAACTAGCACATCAAGTATCATGTTAGCATCTGCTATCTTGTCTGCATCTGACATATAAATGCAAAATAAAGCTGAAGAAGAAAAGGATTGCATAAGCAGCCATCTTTAGAATCTTCCACATGTATGGAGTAGTTTTAATTTCATAGAGCAGCTGTGATGTTTGAAAGAATTTAACTACGATATTCTTCTTGTCTTTTTCAGAGTCAAATTTGCTAGAAGAAGTTGACTATGATAGATCTGAGGAAGCAACAGATGAATTAAAACCTGCTGAAGATGAACTTCCCGAGCTAGAAGGCAACACAAAAGCTTATATAAGAGATATCCTCATTACTTGTGGCCTGTTTGAAAGAAATCACTTTAATCAGTGCCTCTGGGAGTGGGATGCCCCAAGAAAACCAATTCCTCTATTGGTGTTTGATGAAGTCGAGGAAACATATCGAAGAAATGACAAGCTGGAGAGTAGGACAACCCTCATTTGTGAGGGTGAAGACGCTGACTTTAGTCATAGAATTCTATTCAGTTTGCTGAACGAGGCATTGCTAAGGGTTACGCAGAATTCAAAGCCTGGCTCTACAGTGAAGAAATGGTTCCCAGGTCCCGGAAGAGTACCACAAGGGGACCAACTCTTGGACAGCTTGTGGCATCTGATTCAAGTGTACATCAACCCACCTGTGGATGAATCACATCCTTTAGAGAGCATTGTAGCCCAAGAGATGAATCAAACTTCGTGGTCTGGTATGTTGCATGAGGATGTCGATATAATCTCAGTGGAGATAGAGCTTTTAATTGTAGAAAATTTGATTGATGAGCTTGTATGTAGTTTGTCATAGTCATTCATAGTCTCCTATGTTTGTGTTTGGGATGATGCTGCTGCTTCTTTTTTCTTTCTATCTGTGAATCCAGTGTCAATATTGTCTTGTTAATCTTTGTATAGAGAAAAATATTGGTACAGCTTTGTGAAAGTATGTTTTCTAAAGTGCTTGTCTCAAGAAAAGTTCATCAGTATTGGGTGTTAATTGATGCTGAATGATATCAATTGTAGCTGGACATTTTGTGTTATTCCTTGTTAGATGTTGGATGACATCTATTCCTTATTAACATTCTTTTTAGACCAAGAACAAATGAGTTAGATGGTAGAGAATGTTGCAGCTCAATCCAGCATCTGAAACAAGAGATTTCCAGAATCTAAAGGCAACATTATTCTGAGACCATAACATCGAATGTTTCCTTTATTGTTCCACTCTGTTGCATGGTTTTGAGTTCTCACAGCAGCGTCATTATTGTTGAGGATTTGCGACCTTCTTAGAACGATTTATTGACGCCCACTACATCTAAAAGCCAAAGCAGCAGACGAAGCGCGCTCGTTAACCAAAGCGACGTAGAAGTGCTTCCTCAGGCCGCGGAACAGGCGGCGCAGCCGCAGTTAGGCCGGCAAGTGCACGAGGCCTTGCCCGCCGCGGTGGCCCCGCCGCACGCGCACGGGTTGCAGTTGCAGTGGTCGCCGCACGTGCACAGGGTATGCCGCACTTCCCCATCGCCGCCGGTCGAGCACCTGCACGCCGTTCCTCCACAGAAGCAGGGAAGAAGGAAACAGGAGAACGGAGTTACTACCCACTACATGCATGCCTAGTAGCGAGGAAGAGATCGGATTCAGAGAAGGAACGGCTGGGATCACCTGCAGGCGTTGCCGCCAGGGCAAGGGACGACGCAGCCGCACGCGTTGTTGCAACCCCTGTCCGCCATCGATCTCTCTCTCTCTCTCTGTCCTCGTCGAACACCTTTATAAGGTGTTGAAGTCGTCGAGAGGGGCGAGGCGCGAGCACCGTGGCCACCACGTGACGCGCTCTCCGGCGTTACAGAGCGCGAGCAAAGGTGACGACGGCCACGCATCGGTGCATGCGTGCAACGTCGACGGAACACTTGACCACTGAATTGGCAATGCTTCATGTAAAGTATATAAAGTATTCTTCATCACAGATTTGCTTCCTTTGGCTAATCCACTTGCTGTTTCCAGGAATGAGAGCGAGAGGTTTGTATTCGTGCCGTCTAATGATTTGGAGCTGCTAAGATCTCTGAAAGGCATCGCAGCTACAAATTCAAAGAGGGTTTATCACCTTTTTGGGCATCTTTCCAAGTAGCTCCATCATTAAAGCCACATGATCCTGCAATGGTATCTACTGGTAATTGAGTCGATTATAACTTCTACTGTCGATCAATCGGAAGGATTTGATTCCTCTTCTCTTCCTCATCCGACTCCGACTCCGCCTTCCTCCAGCCCGGGTGTTGGCGGCGATGGCAGCTCCGTGGCACCGAGGGAGTCGGTCACATTCGCAAGGCGAAGCAGCTGATCCGATTGGTGAACGTGGAGGCGCTTGAACAGAGGCCGCTACCTTTGTCCGCATCTTAGATGACGCCAATGTCGTCCTCTTGTTCAGAGACAAGGTCGCCCTCTTTCTCGATTTCTTGTTCCTTTTTCGTGAAAATTCCATCATATTATGCATCCTCCAACTCCAATTATAGTTATGTTTGTTTAATCTTTTCGATGGAGTGAGAAAAAATTGAATGCCGATAGTTTGCATCAAATTGTTGTAGACATTTTCCTTGTCGTTTCTTATAGTGAGACATGGTTTTCCCCACCTGTTAAAAAAAAAAATCCTGTTGTGGTAGATCTTGAAGGAGTTTGAAGCTGATGGATTGCCGATTTCTCCATTGTAGATTTAGGTTTCTTTCTATCCTGCCTTGTTTGGATGACTAAGTAGGGAATTCCAAAAAGAACCGAATTGTTTTTTTCAATCGTTTGCTTGTTGCTATCTCTTAACTTTATTCATATTAGTCCTCTGGGTTTAGAGTTCTGGTAGGTTGCTACTCAGAATCTTGTGAGATCAGCCAATGTAGAGCTGCTCAGGGCAAACCCTAGAAAGCAGATCTGAACTACTTCAAGAAAAGAAGCATAGAAATTTTATTGAGGATGAATCATTTCCTTACAATGAGAAGAAATATCTTTTTATAGGGTTATGCTTCGTTTTCTGCAAGTAAAATGATATGGAGTATTCTGGCAAATAAGTACTTAAAATTATAGATGAGTAAATCCTATATATTCTAGTAAAATGATTTGGCTAATTAAATCTTGAAAATGCCTAAAATATGGGGATGAAATCTTATACAAAAATAAACAAATTAAATTACACAAAAATAAATTTTATAGATAATGCTAATGGATGTGTTGCATTAGACATCTCCACTTGGGGAGAACTTGTCCAGAGCTCACAGATTAAATTTGTAGCCTTTCGTTTCATAAGAATAAATGCTTAAATAAGTTATCTAGTGCAATCTTTTCTTGAGTCGACGATTCATGAATTCCAGCCAAGGATGGTAGAACTTCATCATGAGTGGTTATCAGATTAGGCAAGCTTATTATTTAATGCCACTTGACATGGCACAAAAGGGATAATAAGATGCTGCTCATGACAAACAAAGCAGATCTAATTTACACTAAGAAAAGAATCATTAAAAATTTTATGATAGGTACGATGGTTGCTAATCCTATTTTGTCATAAAATAGGCTGTCCAATCTATAAACATTAAAATAATTATAGATGTTTTGAATGAGACTAGCGAAATTGCTCGAGAGTGTCATTTCTCGAATGGATTGGTAGATATGGATAGACATGTACGAGTCTGATTGGTTTCTTGAACCTTGATGTGAAAGATTCATAAGACAATGATGAAGATCAAACCTATAAACATATGGTAGATATACTCACAAAACAAATGATTGACCAAATGACTCGTGTATGATTTCACTCGAAGTTAAAAAGTCCTCTTTTCTAGAAACTTAAAGAAAGTAAATTTTTAGATTGGTTGATAAAGTGATAAATTCCGTGAATACATAGAATTTCCTAGTTGCATGTCAGTAAACTTTTATTTCACTAGTTGCCTGTCAGTGAGTGGAACCAAACTCAACTCTTGATGCACAAGGGTGAAGCCCTTGCTTGTTTACTTATTTCGTTGCTCGTTTCTTAGCTAAGCACTGTTCTGTTTCTAACACTGATCTTATTTCCCGACCCTGCTGTTGTGCTATCTAGTGATTATCCTAAGTCCAAGTTAAACCCCTGGCATGCAAATCTAGAGATTTTCTTTTTTTTTTATTGTAACTTGATACAATTAATTGATTTTGTTAGAGACTGTACCATAACAAATTTGGATATTAAGGAAAACAAGTATCATAATTTGGAAGAAATAATAAATTGCTTCAAGAAAAAATTAAAACAAATGAATTATCTAAACTATTTCTCTGGAGCGGAAGACTAGAAATTCAACTTGTAAATTTGGGTTATCTTGATGTGGATAAGTTTGAGGCAACATGCCTAGTGACATCAAATTAAAAGTATCTTTGAAATTTATTTATAGTCTTCAAATATTTGTTCATATGGGAATTTAATTCCACATCTTAAGTTATTTTAAGATTTGATTAGTCAAAACAAAGGTTTGTTATGTAGGAATTTAGGCTAAAATATTTCATGATATTATTTCATTTGCAACATTAAAATATAAGTATACATGAGTTATTTTTTGTCATTGTAAGGAATGTCTCATGGTTCATCATCAAGAAAATTTCTATCTTCCTCTTTTTACCGTATCTTAGGTGCGCTAGAGTTTGCCACGAGTAACCTTATAATATCAAATTTATGTTAGTGCTGTCTTTTTGTATTTCATTTCCCTGCCTGTTGGATTGAATATGTCTCTTGCAATAAAAGTTGTTGAGGATAGTTTAAACTATAGTGAGCTCATGATGTTGATATTTTACATTACTGCATGATGCTTTCTGATTGAAAACCAGTTCTCTACCGAGTCAATCCTGACCATTTCCACATGATAGCAGTTACGGACAACTTGGAGGTACACTGGTCTTTGGTAAGTAACATTAAGACGTTCGTCAAGTTTGCTACTAATTCAAGTATGAACTCTTAAAACCATTTTCTTCGGTCTCTCCATCATGTTACTCCATGTTTGTAAGAAAGACTGCTCTCCTTAATCTAACATGTGGGAATGATCCAAGGAGAGAGGAGTTGAAGGAGCTAAAACAAAAAAGAAAGAGGAAATCAATATGATTGCACGTAAGCAAGTCCGACACATATTCTGATCAGGGTTGGGGTGTCTAATTATTCAGATTGGTCTTTTCACTCGGCTTAGATTCTAGTTCATGTGAGATGTCACGGAGATGATCACCTTATTAACCACCATGGTTGCCTTCTTGCTTAATACATATTCTTTTCTTTTCACATCAAGAGATCTAATGTATCAAGACTTTACATTGGCTCTTCTTGTGTAGATAAAAGAAGTTATATCAAAAGTAAAATTATAACATGGAGGAGAAATATTACAAGAGTATGTTGGACAAAAAAGTCATGAAAGAGAAATCGGATAGTAGAAAAACCTTTAATATCATAGTGCCCTAGTTTTGTATGCTTCCGAGATGTAATGTTAAAACATTCACACCTTTTGCAATTGTTATTCTCTTTTTAGTAAGTACTTTCATAAATACTATCACAGCAATCTTGTAGTTTTTTATTTAATACTTTAATCTACAAATGGGAGTTATATCTCTATTCATGTCTGTTTATCATGGTGTCATGTCTTATGAATGAATCGTGATCAACTATCCTTCAAATTATATTTATTTATCTTTGATAATTACCAAAATATAGTGGGAAAGATGATGGAGGAAGCTTCGTACATGAAGATGATAATGAACGAGTAGATAGAGGTCCTGAGGAGGCAAATCTCCGCCTACGCCACCATCTCCGAGCAACTGATGGAGATACACAGGGCCATCAAAACACTGCAAGACTCATTCTCATGTTTTCTCTCCTAAAAATTTGATTTTTGGTTTAAGATAGAGTTGAATTGGCATTTTTTTGTGATAATTCTCTGTTTTAGCATAGAAGGGTAGGTCCTGAGTAATGGAAAACTTGATTTGTTGCTTGAATATTCATTTCATCGAATCAAGCTAATTCTATTGGGTATCATTTATCTTGAAATTTATATGAAGGCTTCGGAAATATAAATTATTAGGCACATATATGGCTTGGTGAACTTGAAGGTATATTGCAGAGATAATAATGTTGTTAATGTCGTGTTGATTAATCCACATCATTCCTATTAAAATAGCTTTCTTTTGTTCATGGTCGAGTAGAATTAGAATCATATCACATTACTGAATAGGATACCCTATCAATCAATCCCACTACGTGGATGAGAACATGAGATAATATAATATTTCATTTAAGAACATATGGATTATTATTTTATTAAAGATAAAAGATGTGAATTAAGTGAGAAGTGAATTAGAGTTCATCCATGTACTTGCATAAACCCTGTGGTTCAAGCCATAACTAGAGTTCTAACTTAAGTAGATGAATTAGCAATGGAGATGATGTTCTCAATGTGCCATTCCTATCTATTGAGATAGCTTTATTTTTTTCATGGATTAAGTAGAAATAGAAACATATAATTGTTGATTTGGGTTACCCAATCAAAAAAGTCTCACCACATCTGCTTTGTTGACATTAGTGTGCTAACTTGGTTATATAATGTGGTTATTGATTATTCTAGTCATTGGTTTATAAATGTCTATGACAATGGACATGTAATTGTCCCCTGAGTTCTCATGGGAATACTTACCAGAACTATGTGTGTGAGAATATGAGGTAACATAATGTCTCAATTAAAGGAATATGGATTATTATATTATAGATGATGGTTATGTGTTCCATAAGGTTTGGAGTTCATCTATTTACTTAGCTCCCATGGTTCATGCCAACACCCAAGTTCTAGTAATAAAACAGGATTTGTTGGAGATAGATCTGAAAAACAAAAATATTATGGCTCAAGAAATCAGTCATATCTATTATAAGTTAACATATTGACAATAATCTGAAAATTGATCTTGTCATGTCGATCTACCGAGGCAATGCATGCTAGATTTTGTTTCCTAGTGGATAATCTAAAGCAAACTAAGGTAAGAGGCAATGATCAATTGTTGTCAATCATTTGATCTAACGTTACAATGATCATGTATATGTAGAACTCAGATCTATTTTGAGTGACCGTGCCAAAATTATATCTTATGCATGTTAGAGCAATAACCAATGTTTATTATAATTTCATATGAAAGATCAAGGAATGTTTACATATTACGTTATGTAATTAATTATCATTAATATCTCAACCCCTATATTTTCAAAAATTATATTAAGATTCATAAGTTTACGAAAATAAAATATTTAACCATGTTGCTCTAATAATTTTTTTATTTTTAATTCTTAAAAAAAATTTAATTCTGTATAAGGATCTTTATGTTTTAAGTATAAAAATCTAATGTAACTCGTGAAAGTATAAAAATTAAAATGCTACAGGTAACTAATTATAAGAATTAATCTGTAATTAGCTCGAAAGGTCATACAAAAGCATAAACCCTGTGTATGCTAGAAACTAATGCAAATCTTCTCATTGAGAATGTATTATCATCAACTTGTAAGCAAATAAAATAATATAACTGATCAAATAATACATGGGTAGTTTCCACAACATACTACTGATCTAAAAGGTCATCAAAGCTCAAGCACTGTTAAATGTTAATAACTCTCTGGTTGAGCATTTTCCACTATCCCCTAAAGGTTAGCCTGTACTGCATAAAGCAATGAGGGCTCCTTTCCCACTAATTCATCAACCAATTTTACATCCATTTAACAAAAATGAACAAAAACTATATATTTTGCACAATACAACACATTGTAGTCTGATGACGTTACTGCCTTGAAGTTGCTTTCTCCAAAAATGTCACAATTGATTTCCATCAATCAAATTGCAGCATGTAGCAGAAGCTTGTCACCTGCCCACCTGAACATTAAGCTTACTCATGCCAATCTCCAGCTTCCCAACACCTGCTCCACTATTTTTACTGTTGGCTTTTGCATCTCTGATCTTAATCCATGGATGTTGTAGACACTGTTCCGCTGTTGGCCGCTTTTCTGTTGCAAAATCAAGTAAAGGGCAAAGGAACTCTGCAAATTCATGAGCATCGGCCTCACTAAATTTGTATTTGTCAACCAGTAGCTGATCTAGTGGCCAGAACTTCAATCTTTTGATCCTCTTCAGGTCTCCATACCTATCAAAGTAATCCTTTGATCGGGATCCCGTAGTAGCAACCTGAAGAGCATGAAGACACTAGTCAGTATCATGTATTAAGAGTTGAGATAACTACGAGCATTTATTACCTTTTTGGGCATCTTTCCAAGCAGCTCCATCATTAAAGCCAAATGATCCTGCAAAGGAACCAACGTTATCTACTGATAATTAAGTTCACCAGAGAATAGGAAACAGTTTTCCTAGTTTCATGAAGTTTGTGCAAGTAACATTCCATAAAAATATGGTATCTTTAGTAACCAATACTTAAGTGCTTACGTTCTGTCTATGCTTTCCTAAAGAAAAAAGAATTTGATTCTTGATTCTACTTATGCTGTAATGAAACAGTCTTACACCTGATCAATTAGGAAAGATTTACTTACTACTTTCAAGATGATCATTTTGAACCATAAAGATAAATATAGAGAATGAAAAAAAATATATCTCAACAGAAAAATGATGCCACAAAAGTTACGTGGAAATGTGCTGTTCTGGGACTCGGAACAAAATTTTAAATAGATCATGCTGCTCAAATTAAAACAAACTGGGATGTCAGGTTAACATGCCAGTGTTGCTGAAATAAGAACTGTGAGTAGATAAACAATCGTCTCAAAAAGAAATCTGCATATGACAGTTAAAAAAAGACCATATTTTATTTCCGTTCACCTTTGCAAAGACTATATTGCTGAAGCTTGTAATCTAATTTTCAATAGACCACTTAAAATAACATTTACCAATATCCCTCACTCCTTTCTATTTTGTTGTTATTTGTTTATCATGATCTTGTGCAAGCTAACCTGATATGATCTGTTTTCCTTCCTACTCTATATAATCCTGAGCCACCTCTCGCCTATTTGAGCTTCCTTGTTGTTATCAAATCCAAATACACTTGTTCCAGGTCTAAAAGAAGAAGATCTATTTGCTGAAATTGCATCAATAGGTATTAAATCTAGAAGTAGCAAATGTAACATACAAGAATCTATAAATTCAGCCTTTTGAGATATCGCAATAAGATGAAAATATATATATTTTTTCATTAACAAGGATGAGTTATACTTTTAATTGCTGAAGCCACTATATGTCTTAACAATTTCAGCCAAAAACTACTGAATTGAGATGAGAAGCAGCCTTGTCTAATAACCAGATTTTGCCTATCTTGTTCCTGAATCCAGAATAAAATTTGGAAGCATGTGTACATATCTAAAAATAAGTCAACTAAATTTCTCATCACAATTGTCGATTAAGTTAGGACTTTCCTTATTCATCCAATTTTCGAGGAAAAAAAAATAGCACTCATGTTTATATAGAAGTAGGAAACACACCTCATCTTCACTGTATCCTTGGCCACTTTTAGGTGCAAATAGCATATCTCCAGTAGCAAGCTCAAATGCCATGCATGCAAAGGACCACATATCTGTAGAGAAGGAGTAACCAGCACCAAGAACAACCTCAGGTGACCTGTACTGCCTAGTCTGGATATCATCAGTTAACTGTTTATCACACCAACAAGCATTCCCAAAATCCACAATCTTGCATCTAAGATCAATTCCTTCCAAGGTCCTTTCCAGCTGCAAAATCCCGGAAGTTGAAGCACTTGTCTCAGAGATCCTCGCCCTTGCCCTCTTTGCCTTTTTTTTAAAACTCTTTTCAATCATATTGACCACTACACTGCCATTTGGGTTGCCCTCTGGCCTCTCTAGGATTGGGGTAAGTACAGACCTGACTGGGTCTTTTGAAAGATCAATGGTGGAGACAAGAAGAATATTCTCCAGTTTCAAATCTGTGTGAATGATGCCTACTTCCCTGTGCAAATAATCAAGACCCACCAAGATAGACCTGCATATGTTTCTCACCCTATTCAGTCCGATGCCTTTGTAATGGTTGTACTTGACAAGACGAAGAAGGCTATCCCCAAGGAATTCAATTACCAGGCAAAGATGCTGGCCATTTGGTCCAGAATGCTTAAAGTGGTCAATTAATCGAACTATACATTTGGAATTTGAGGTATCGCCTTGAGCAATTGCCGAGAGCAGCTCAATCTCATGGAGAGCGGCTTGAGCGAATTCTGGTGCACTTTTTTGAATTTTGAGAGCAACAAAACTCTACAAGAAAAAGCAAATCCAAATTAATCCTTGAACTAGAAGAGAGGCTCCTTGAATTAGAAAAACTTGGGGGTCTATTGATATAGTAGGACAAAAAAGAATGACCCAATGCATGATGCGTCAATATACGAGCCTTGTCACTGTAAACCGAGAGGCTATCTCCATGACTCAAGTGCTTGTCAGCAAGAAATCTTACCGTAATGTGCAAGGCTTGCCTCATAGTAGGATATAAATGGCAAAAGAATAGATAATAACATGCAAGAAGAGTGCACTGAGATCAGAAAAACAGCAATCCACATAAGATGGAACATGAAAAGCGATACACGAAGATCGGATCAAGACCAATGTAGAAGTAGAGTTAAAGTTGATCCATCAAGTGACTTAAAATGAGAGAAATAATAATTGAAATGAATACATAATGCCAATCATCATAAATTAAAGTTGATGTCTTTGGCAGCTACTGGCACTCAATTAGACCAGAGTGGGATGCTTTTTAATATAACATATCCCCAATAAACGATATCATTGAGCCTAGCATAAAGAAGCATGGAAATGAATGAAACATGATAAATGCTAGTCCTTTTTTCCCGCATAGGAGCAGCAATCGGAGGCATAATCATTTATCACGAAATAAAGACCTGATCTTCTCGATGATTATTCAATCGACCATTCATTTAAATGAAATTCCGAAACGTCAAATCGAAAAGCGATCGGAGATCGAGTGAAATCGCATCCAAGGACGAAAAGATGAGATCTTTCGCAGACAATTCACGACGATCTTTCGGCAATTTCGATCTGAGGCAGGAATTGGCAATCAAAGGCGCAATCTTTCTCCACGACGAAAGGGAAACAAGGAAACAAAGATGCAGAGGGAAGGGAAGGAGGAGGCAGCGTACCTGGGATCGGGTGTCGTAGGCGAGCCAGACGGTGGAGAAATGGCCCCACCCAAGCTTCCGCTGGGCGATATACCGCCCGCCGGCGAACCGATCGCCCACCCTGACGGCATGGTACCCTCCCTTCCGGTAGGCGTCGACGCCCTCGTCCTCCTCCGACCCCGACGACGAAGAGCACGACATCTCTCCCTGCTTCCAAAGTTCTCGTCTTTATTCCCCACAGCCAAGAAGAGAAGGGGAAACCCGTAGAAGAGAGGAGAATAATGGGATCCGAGGAAGGAGACGACGATGGCCACGACTGGTCGAATGGGATGACCGCTTCCACCGTCCGAAACGTGTTTGCGTTAATGAAATGAACCCTACATGCACTAATATGGAAGCAAGGAAGGTTTGGACGATCATTAATCGCTTCAATAGCTGTGCGCGCATGAATCCAGTGTGGCGGATGATCGAACCAACACTTCCATCTGATGCTGCGGCTGTCAATGGTTGGCGACCGGTCCAATTCACGTTCGGTGACGGTCCAATTTATGGGGTATATCGGTTCGATGCGCACCAAATTGGGTTTGATAAGTCAAATCCACATGAATTAATTTACATTTATGTTACAAGAGACATGTTTGGAAATATTGAAGAATAAAAACGGATTAATTACATATTATTTCAATCACTATACTTAATAAAGTTATATTATAATTTTTATAATTATAAAAATAAAATATTTAATCGTATCTATTCTAACATCATATACAAATAAAAAATAAAAAATAATTTTAATATCTTAATTAACGCATCTGTGTCGTCCTCTTTCTTTTTTCTTTTTATCCTCTTAATAATTATAATGTTTCTTTTTTCTTTTTATCCTCTTAATAATTATAATGTTAAAATTATTTTTTTATATATTATTTTTATGCTTCTACCAGTAAAACCAACGAAGTTCACTTTTATAATTATAAATTTTTTAATTTTTTAAATCTAAATAATAAGTACTAAAGAAACCTAACTAAAGGCATAATGAGTGATATGTTATTAGTCCCAACGAAAACACTTCCGAGTCAAGCCAAGACATTAGCAATCCCAGTAATCCACATGTTTAGTGTGTGAGATGGCTGCCACCAGGATTCTGCCACTTCCGAACATAGATTTGCCTCTAGTCAAAGGTTGTCCGCCGGTGGTGATGGCTGCTGCAGGACACAAACACAAGCAAACATGTTCTTCTCATATCTCATTTCTAGTCTGTTCTTACGGAGAATTTTGATTGTAATGAGAATAACAATATCAATTCGACAACAAAAATCTGGAAAGATTGAACTGACTACTACACACTGTTCTTCCCCCTTGTAGTCAGTGTAGCTTATTACACACAAACCCCGACACAAACAGCTTGTTGCTACAAAAGAATGCAGATAAACCAACATTACATGTTGTAGATTCCTTTAGTCTCCTCTTCTCCTCAGTTAAAATACTCTGAGAAGTTGAGATCCAATCCACACATCTTCTTCCTTCCTTTCTCTTTTAATGATGCGTGTGTGTGTGTGGATTTACTGACCCAAATTCTACTAATTTTAAGACTGCACAGAGTTGAAGATGGACATGAGAGAGGACCAGGTGCCGGAGATAGCTAGCCCCATGCCGACGACGACGATGGCGATGTCGGCCGTGGCCTCGGCCCAGCCCAGCTCACCGCTGAACACCTTGAGGTGGAACGCAGCCGGCAGCACGAAGCCGAGGACGACGCACACACTGCTCCCGACCAACGAGAGGAAGTCGGCGAAGTTGGGCACCAGAGTCGCCGCCAGGCTCACCGCCAGCACCAACGCCCAACGCAGCCACCAGCAGTACCTCTTGCCACACAGCCACCGCTCCGCGACCTCGAACACCGGGTTCATCATCACCGGGAACGTGAAGAAGAGGTTGATGCAAAGGCCGAGCTGGATGAGCAGCGTGAGCACGCCGGCGCCGAGGTTGGTGGTGATGATGTCCCTGGTGTCGTCGCCGAAGGCGGCGTAACCGAGCACGCCGAAGAGGCCGTAGAGGAGGGCGATGAAGGCCATGGACAGGCCGAGGGTGCGCCCGAACTTGGACTTGTCGGCAGCCTCGGCCTCGAGGGGGAGGACCATGCCGATGCCCTCGAAGGCGTAGACCGCGACGCCGGCGCCGTAGAGGAGGACGGACGGACCGGCGAATGCGTGGATGGGCGGGGGGCGGGAGACCATGATGGAGACGTCCTCGGCGATGACGACGCCCATGGCGCCGAGGTCAACCACGTCGGCGAAGATGCTGAGCGGGGCGAGGAGGGTGAGGCTCCGGATGGAGTTGAGGCCCAGCTGGAAGGGCAGCATGGCCAGAACGTAGAGGGCTTTAGAGGAGAGGAAGGGGAGGGAGAGAGGGAGGAGGTGGGTGAGGGAGCTGGAGATGAAGATGAGGTAACCGACGCAGAACCCGGCCTGGCTAAGCACGATCATGGCATCGACGGCCAGGCGGCCGAGGGAGCCGGATACGGCGAGGCCGAGGTCGCCGAAGGAGGCGATCTTGGCAGATCCGTCAAGGTCGAGGCGGCGGCGGGTGCGGACGATGAGCATCATGCAGTGGAAGGTGAGGGCGGCGACGGCGAGGAGGAGGAGGGCGCCGGCGGCCCACCCGGTGCGCCGGAACGCGTACGGGAGGCCCAGGACGCCGGAGCCCACGATCGCGATGAACACGTTCGCGAACGTCTTGGGCTGCGACGACAGCCGACCCCGGAGGTCGCCGCCGCCCACCGACGGAAGCAGCGGCGCCGCCGACGCGTCCAGGCCGTAGCTGGAGGAGCACGCCTCGTTCCCAAACACCATGGAGTCGATCGAACCAAGCAATCAATGTGCTGTTCCGAGGGAGAAGCGAGGAAAAGGAGAAGAAGGAAGACGATGAGAAACGGGTGGTGACATGACTGCTATAAAGATGAGGGGAACCGTGAGACATAGTTGGAACGCCGAGGGAGTTCGAGAACGACTTCGCTTCTCTTGGACCGTACGATTATGGCAATATTAGCTGGACTCAGCGATTGCTTTGATTGGAGGGTTTCGATCGATGCGACGTATTTGATCTTTAAAAACTGCGTTATAATCATTTTTAGGGTTTTGATTCAAACAGGATATTGTTTTTAAGTTTTTAATCAGATATATATATATATATATATATATATATTTTAATATTTAAATTACATCTCACCGACAATTGGGATTTTAAATGGATAAGAATAAATTCATATGAAAAGTTCAGTTAGATGTTGATGTTGATGTTGATGTTGATGTTGTTGTTGTTATTATTATTATTATTATTATTGAGTATTCATATATTATTCGTATATTTTTTACTTTTAAAATTGATAAAAGTATCATCAACTATTTTTTCTATATTTTTTTTACATGTCTAAATATATTTAATTAAAGTAACTCATTGGATTCAATGAAATCGTTTAATTAGACTGATTTAACCATCCGAAAATTTTAGAGAGGTCCAGAATAAATAATAATCAATAAAATCAAATATTATTAATATATATTTATTTATTTTATATTTTTATATATAATTATAAATATATAAAATTAATTTTAAATTATAAATATAAAAATATTAAAATTATGAAAAATAATAAAAATAAAATCAACTTATTGAATATAATAATACTATTGGAATATTTATTTTTAAAAAATAATAATATAATATTAAAAATAACGCAATAAATGTTAAATATTAATTAGATCTCAATGTCATTATAGTGAACCATCAAATAATAAATTACTATTTTTATACATATTATTTTAGATAAATAATTGAAAATAATATGTAAATAAAATCTCAAAAAAATAAAAACCATTGTTTATAAATGTATTATGCAGTAACTTTCATATTAGAATTCAAATTAATTTAATACTCAAACTCTTATTTTATTATTTTTTTATATACTTTTAATTAGAATAAGCAAAAAATAATGTATCTCAAGTAAAATTGTCTATTTTGAATATTTTAAAACAAAAAAAGGTCACTTTGGCCTTTATAAGTCATTTCCAAAGTTTTCTAAAAATTTCAGAATTTTGAAACAAAAAATGTAGAACGCGAGCTATGTTATTTTAAGAGACATTAACACTATTTTTGAATAGGATCCAACAATAATGGAACCTCATTTAAAAACAACTTATGTCTCTAAATCTTTCAACTAAAAGCTTTATAAAACCTTATATAATAATATTCAAGTGATTTTTTTTTGAGCCAAAGTTATTGTAAATTCACTTAAACTAATAGAAAAAATGACATTATTATTGTTGAATCTCGTATTTTGATGATGAAACTACTTGATATATGTTTATGATTTAATCTGCGTTTTGAGTGACGTAGGATGCTTTGATCAGAATGAGACAATTAAAGCAGGAAAATCATGTTGTGCCGAAGGAACATGTCAGAAGATTGGACGTCGGGCCGGTGGATCGGTCGACGTATCGACAGAAGGCTTCGGGCCGTGGACTCGGGCATCGGGCCGTGGACTCGGGCATCGGGCCAAGAAGAGCGGGTATTGCGCCAAGGATATCGGAGTTGCGGAGTCAACTGGCCGATTGGGCAATAGGCCGCAGGAGAGGACGATGAGCCGAAGAATCGGACAAAGCGTCGAGGGACCAATGACATGTCGGACAACTTGGTTAATTGCTTAGGATTAATTGTCTCGATCGAAGTTTTGATTT